CGTTATACCCTAAAAAAAGGGTATCAACTTACACCCCTTTGTCCCATATAATGCACCCAAAACTTCAGTTCGACGTACAGCGTACTATAGTGGAACAGACGGCCCCAAATATTACGAGGGGCTTGATGAGGGTGCGATATAACTTTTTAAACAGCTGAAGTACTCAAAGTCCACAGAACGAAAACATCGAGGTTTTACAAGAAGGTCAAGAAAACTCCGATTTTTTTTTCGTAGTCAGTAACATAAGAACGTTAGCTATTTTAGGAAGTTGTACCACACGGCGATCAAGCCTCTCGTGAAAGTTGGTACCGTCAGATCGACGTCAGCGCGCTGTACGTCGAACGAAAGGTTTGGGGTGTCTTATATGGGACAAAGGGTGTAAGAATACACCCTTTGTTTTTAGAGTGTGTGCGTGCTCATTTTTGTCAAGTTCTCAACTCTAGCTATGTTAAATCAATGCTCTCTGTTGCCTTCATCATTTTCCCCTATTCCGCCCTTTTCCTGACGATCTTCGCTATATCGCTGAAATAATTACGTTTTCGAACAAGCAGGGGCGTGGCTTTTATGATACAAGCATCAGAGTGTTGCCGAGTAGCTTGCGTTTTTGTCAAACTTGGTCAAACAGTTTACGCGAGGTGGGGCCATAGTAATGAAAATTGAAGATTGTTTTAATATAGAATATATCGTAATCCTTGCTCAGATAACTAAATTCATCGTAAATTTGATTCGGTGTAGTGCCGACACAAAATACAATTCGGATTCCCATTTAAGTGCCTAATTTAAAAGTAGCTCACGTTTGATATGCCCCCCCCCCCCCAAAAAAAAAAAAGAAACGGTTTTGTCCTCTTCAGTTTTCTAAGTATTTCTGTATAAAAACGTGCTTCAGCTTATATATATAAAACGTACATGGCGCACAGCGACAGTTACCTTCAGAAAGCTGAAATTTAATATATAAACATTTCATCGATTCATATGCCGTTTAAGCACCTTCCATTTTAAGATAAGCATTCTTTTTAAACAAAAAAAAAAGAGTAAAGTAAAGAAAACAAAGAAAAATATCTAAATTATATGACGACGCAAGCAATTCCACCATTTGGTGGAATGGAATCAATAGATGGAAACCCGGAAGAAGAAACGGCTTCCGCCTACCGTGTCCCCGAGGTCGTAATATTTTATTAGCGAGGAATCCGGCCAACGCGAGCCAAGCGGGCACGCCAACCAACCAAACACGACAAGGCGCGGCACCCTTTGTGCGAGAATACCTCGTCTTGTCAGCGCACATGCGACTGAACCAAAGATCGATGCGCTATTCGCTGTCACCCAATACGCGGTCCTTTTATGCCGGAACGCTCTTGAGCTTTGTGCTCGGACCTCCAGCAACCCGGTCCACACGAGCAGGCCCCCCTTCCGGCTGGCCCGTCTCCCACAGTCCCCCGTCGCCGGGCACTCTCGCAGCACTCTTCGTTCCTTCGCCGAGTACACGCTGTCTCTTGGAACGACGACCGGCGATCTTGGTTCTCTTCTCGGCCTGCCTCGCTGACCTCTGTCCAATAGAATGCCGAACACCCGGCATCCGTGGGCAGAACCGAGACTGAGAATCAATTGGCGGGCGCCTGCGTCAATTGTGGTTTGCTACAAAATACGCGGTGTCCTGCCACAAACAGGAGGACAAGGCGGCCTATAATGAAATGTTTTTTTTGTGGTTATTTATTTGTATGCATTCTAACCACGTAGCAAATTGTTGTGCTGCGGCTTTCAGCGGAAATTCTCGCTTTTTGGGGATTTCAGTATCCACTGCGCAGTGTGTTTACCTTTTTAAATAATGAGAAATGCAAAGCTGACCATGCTTTAGGCAAAATATACTGTCAAACAGTCGGTCCAATACACTTTCACTGCGTCGCAGTATAATCCCTAATAAGCACTTTCCTGAAACTTCGAATTTAAAAACAAACGTTCAGATCGACAAAACCTGACGAATAAAATTAAACATATTTGCAAGAAGCGTATAGTCAATTAAAAAATAACATAAATAAAACCATACCTCAGCGAACAATACACTATACGCAGCCGGCAATGGCCAGGCGGCGCCACGAGCGCACTGCATTCAGCGCCACAAGCGGAGGCGTCTCTGTTATTGGGGCGGCCAGTTTTCCCGTCGGGCCGTTGCGAGCGGCGGCGACCCCGATTTCAACAGTCCCCGTGTGTACCTCCGTCCCTGGTTCTTTTATGCGGTTTTTTAATCGGGAGCCTTGCTAGGTCCAAGTGCTGAGAGAATATTCTAGAGTCGTCGTTTGGACACGTTTGAGTTGTCTTCACTACTTGTGGCCGCCAGGCGCCCGATCGGTCTGTGCTTCGCTCGTTTACCAGGAAGTGACACAATACAACAAATGGGTTTATTGTACATACCGATTGCCCGTCTTCGAAAGCCGGCACTCCGGACCCGCCGACCTTAGTTGTCGCCTGTCGTTCAGAGCTCACAGTCGGAGCCCGTGTCCAGGCCTGCGGATCGGCCTTCCCACGCCAGCGCTGCGTAGGCTAGCTGTTCTGGGCTATCACTGCCAAAGTCTTGCTGCGGAACCACTCCGGGATCGTCATGGACTAGGCCAGTATGGTCAGGGTTCGCCGCTTCCGCCGGTCCTGATCCGAACTTCGCTGGTGGAATGCTCTCGGGAATCGCCATGGGCCAGACCAGCCAGAACGGTTCTATCGTTCCTGCCCGGCCCCAGCCTCGCGCAGCAGGCTTTTCCTCGCCGGCTGGCCCCCGCTCGCGCCACGCTCGGCCGTCCTCTCCTCCCGACGCCCACACACACTAGAATAAAATTTGGGTAATTAGAACCAAACTCTGCATGCTACAGAACCGTGCGCACATCGCAAAGCCTGGTGTAAAATGGCGACAGGCAACGAAGTGTACGCGTAAGGACATTTACGCTTCGCATGAGATTTCTCTAAAGAAAAAACTTTAGCATCCTGCTTTCTGCATGCCGTCACAATTGTTACCAGACTCAGCATTAAATTTGGTTGCTGAAACAAACAAAATTTTGTGCTACGAAAATTCATTACTTGAAAACTCGCAGGTTTGGAAGGTTTTGGTTGCGACCACGCGTGCCGAACGGCATTAGGAGTGCCGGAACGGACCGACGAGCCTTTCGCTTGAAGACCTGATCGCCCGATTCTCAACGCCACAGCGAAGCAGCAATCGCCCCGATTGTTCCTATCGTATTTCCCTAATGTGGCTGTGAAAGCGACTCGTAATACAACTTGTATAAATATGTTATTTTGCCGAGTAGTCCGCAAAATGAGTTCGTCCGACCACTTTCCAAGCCTGCACATATATTTTCGTTTACTTCCCTCCCAACAGTTTCTGTAAAATTCACTTACTTGTTGCGTCGCACTGCAGTAATCCACTTCTGTCGCCGTGTCGCTTCCCAAGATCTCGAAGGGAAGCGGTGATGTTCGACGCTTGAGTCACCTTCGCGACTGTGGCCGTCTTTCATGCCGCAGTAGCAATGTTTATTTTTTGGAAGAACTCCACGAGTAGGCGAGATGTCACAGGAACCCGGTGAGGTTATAGAGACGTGAAGTCGGGACTTACTTTTACGAAAAACGAATCCAAAAAAGCTCACGCCGATCCGAAATGCAACGTTCACACGTGGTTTCTGGATGCGCCCGCCCGCAGCCCCCGCGACCCGCGTAGTCCTGGCCTACCCAGTTTCTTTATTTTGCAGCCGCTAGATGGCGCAAAGTGTAGCGCCAAACTGCATTGCAGGTTGCCTATTGGGGATAAGTAATGTAGAAAGGGTCAATAAGTGGACAGGAAACCAGAGATTGTACGGTACAATATTCAAACAGATATTGCCAGAGTTAATGACTGCGGTGCAAGAAAAATACAAAGGGTACAAAGCGCCGGAAAAACATGGACCGAGACGCGAAGACAACGACACAAGGCGCACTGTCAGCAAAAGTGTATTCGAGAAAGTACACGCTCTGATTCCCAACGGGAACGCACAGTCATCAATCAATCCGTCAGGGCATCACGCTGTTCATTGCAGCAGATGCCTTTGCACCCCGTCATTCAACAGCACACAAGTTCTGGCAAAATAAAAAAAACAAGCTCTCACGCGAACTACATGAGGCTTTTGAGATTAGGGCTAGGGGAAACAAGTGCGTCATCGAAACGTCACTGGTCCTATCTACGGACGAGTATGAGTACTTAAAACGTGAGCTGGGCAGGGATTGATTGATGACTGTGGGTTCCCGTTGGGAATAATAGCGAGTACTTTTTTCGAATAAACTTTAGTTGAGAGTGCGCCTTGTGTAGTTGTCTTTGTGTCTCGGTCCGTGTTTTTTCGGCAATTTATGCCCTTTGCAATGCGCCAAATGGTCCATCTAAGAAATATATATTTGAAAGGTTGGTAAACGTGAGAAAAAACATATTCTTTTGGAGGTTGAGGGGGCAACAGTTATTCGTGTTCATCCGATCATAGAAAGGAGAATAACGACTCTGAGACTCAATACGCTAAAAACGAAAGATTGAAACAAAATAAAAACACTGAAAATAGTGTATTTTGATAACAAATAGCTTTGTTATGAGCTAGCTTCCTGATTCTTAAAAAGTTTTTTTTTATTCAACTAGGCTTAAATAGAGACTGAGATATGACATGACTAATAAAGAAAAAAAAGTGCTTTAAGTATTTTTGTTGTTGTTGCTGTCTGTGTGATGTGTTATATCATGAGAACATTACTGGCTTTACCGCGGTGGCACTCTTAGTAAGAAGGCAGTCGCTAAATATAACAAAAAATGAGAATGTCAACTAAATATTAGGACACCTCCTACGCTTCGACAGCATCCAGATCTTTTCTGTGCACTTTATGTGCGAATATAGAAATACAAGATTTATCTCGACAATTATAATTACCGCTTTCTTCGTGTCGTTTATTCTGTGTTTGCCAAATCACTTTGCGGCATAATAATGACAAATGAACAACACGTCATTCTGCAGGTCCCTGTGCTGCCGGAATTGTAGGTCTCAAAATGCCCAGGTACTGTCTGTTCGGTGACACCGTTAATACTGCCTCGAGGATGGAATCTAATGGGCAGCGTAAGTCACTTCTTATGATCATTTGTGCCTCAGTATTTGTTTACAACGTTCAGTTTTTAAAGGAAAGTAATTTGTTGAGTTGTGATAGTGCTTTAGAAAAAAATTAAATTTCACACTCGATTGATATATGTCTTAATTATTATTTATTGGTGACCACTCGGGCCTTTATTAGTAACTTGGGAGTCACAAATGGCTCCAACTTGCTTCAGTTAAGAAAGCTTCGGAGGAAAGCTAGTTCAATAGAATCAAGATATCTCATAGACATAGTTTTGGCAGCTGGAAGTAAAACTACTTGCCTCTAATTTGTCATAAACGTTCTTACTCTCTACACAGTTATTTTATGTTCTACCTTTTATGAGCAATATATGAAACGAAGGCTGATTTTTGAGAGAGCGATCCCACTGTATTTAAAAATGGGGAGTGGCTTCAATCGTACCTTTAGGACTATGCTCGCTTAACATCATTTTTGCTTTTCAAAAGGCGTAAAATGTAACCAAAAATAATGACAGCGTAAATTTACTTGAAGTAAATTTAAATAATGAATCCTTGAAGAGGCCTTGTTTACTAAATTAGTAAGCGTGTTTCTTGCACAATATAAACGGCACATGGATACTGGAAGGTAGTAACTGCTTTGTTTCGTTTTTCCAACTGCTATTTATTCAGCGCTCAAAATCCACGTAAGCACAGCTACCAAAGAAGCCCTAGAGAGGTTCAAGACATTCCAACTTGAACTGCGTGGAGACATTGAATTAAAGGTATGTTCAAAACATTTTGTTGTCTGCATGAATAGCTTTAATCAAGTTTCAATACACTCACTATAAATTGGTGTGATTTTGACTGTCTTTTTTTATTCGTGGTAATAATAAAACCGTTATGGACTCCAGAAATTAATTTCGACTTCCGTTTTTTTCTAAAACACATAATCAAAGAACCTTGAGACTTATAGGGTGTACAATATAAAAAGATAACAGATCGTGTAGAGAAACATATTATCACGATGTCGTACAGCAAGCATTTCGCTGGGAAGGAAGCCTCGGCTGTGGCATTTGGCTGGACAAACAAAACGTTTGCACAGCCCCATCCGTTTTGTTTTTATTCCCTCTTAACCCCTCCCCTCCCTCCCCCTCCCAGAAGCCATCGACCTTTTGGTGGTGCGCTTCGCTTTGATCGGGTGTAACATTGACTTTGAACTCAATTTGAAACTAACTTCTTGGTAAGTTTACATTTTTAACCTCATTATACCTATACACAAACTACTCCGACTTATATAGCTGAAACTAAATAGTTGGCTTTTGCGGCTCTTTAATAATATCTCGCAGCTTACGACAGGATTTTATGTTTGGGGGAATTAGTTTCCTCCGACATTGGGCGCGTTTTCTTCGGCAAAAAATTTTCAGTGTCGGGTGTTTTTTGTGTTTATCTTTATCAGACAATAAAGAAGCCTTTATTATGGCACGCATTGAGAAAACGGCACGGTCATGGGATTGCCCAACTTCCAGGGAACAGATGTTGAATATATGGAAAACGTCGGAGTGACGATAAGAGAAGGAATCAAGATAAGGGAATATAAAAAGCTTTGCAGACAGTTCTCTGTCGAATGTGTTCCTGGGTAGCACTATATTTCACTCTGAATAAATATTTAATGTTGTGAAGCTAGGGAGTTTGTATACGAAGAAAGCTCTAATCATTTTAAATGGCTCTCGGTTATCCCCGATTTTGATGAAACCTGATCCGAGACTTTAGGATATTTCTAAACATACAGTCCGGTTCCTCTTAGTCTGAACAAAATTATAATAAAAAAAATTGTTCAAGGTGCACTAATGCACTTTGTACAGGTGACGTATACGGTCGGGGGACGTAATACAAAGGGTAATCCTTAAGGTACGTCAGATATTTAACTAAAGTTTTGTAATTGACTTAGTTAGTAAAAGTGAGCATATGCGGTTCCAATTAGCAACTTGATGAGCGTCATTAAAAGCCACTAAATGAATACATTTTAGAATGACTTCAAACACGTGGGAATCGTACGGGTGCACGAAGTTTGCCACTCGTGTAAAAGACAGAAAAGCTAGCAAAAACAAAATGCAGGTGATAATCTAATCATCCGTGTTTTCCCCCACTAGAATTGCGCCCGTTGCACCAGTGAAACCTTTGGTGTACCCCAGCGTTTTCCACGTGCTTCAAATCGTTCTAAAATTTACTAATTCGGTGGTCTTCGATGGCGCTCAACAAATCTCTAATTTTATCCATACGACTCATTTTCACCAATTACAAAGATAATTAGAAAATTTTCTTTCATTGTGCGAATTATCGCGAGGATTAGCCCCTCATATTCTGTTTCTCTGATCGTAGAATCCACCTGAACAAGGCGCAGTAGTCTCCCTTTTACTAACGTTTTATAATGAATCTCTTCGAATGAAAATATCAAACAACCTGTACTCTGAAAACACGTAAACCTACTGGTGACATTTTAATTTCAGCTGTTCCGAAACCTAAAAATCAAATTCTCAAAGCTCAAATTTGTTGCTTGCAGGGCAAGGGGTTAATGACCACGTACTGGCTTCTGGAGGAGACGCCGGAGACCATTTCCCCAGATGAAGATGGCCACCCCAAAGAAACCAAAGTCTGACCAGTGTGTGCCTAGGCAACCCAGAGAAACTGGACGCGAGACTGGCGCCATGAGGGGCCGAAAACACCGTACCCACAGAGGACTCGCACCGCGTTCCACCAGCAGGGCAGTCCGCTAGAGAAAGGCGCCTTCGATAAGTAGACGACATGTTGATCAGTGCCAAAATGTGATGGAACTCGAGCTCTCAATGGCATATACGATCGGAAGGCAATAGAGCAAAAAAATGGAACGTCAAAAAAAAAAAACAAAAAAAAAAAAAAGAAAGCCACCCCACATCGGACCCGGGGGAAGTAAAATAACTAGGGGCGGGCGAATGCCGGTTCGAATCGAATTGCACAGCTTCATTATTCGTAGCCTTCACAGTGCTGGATAAATCGACGACATACGGGTTCTTTTTGAATGCAGGGTTCACGGAGCGCTATTCGATTCGAAGTGCCATTTTCCCACCCCTAAAAATAACGTTTCTAGACGATGCAGAAAGAGAGGGAGGGGGCAGGTGTTCATGTGCCGGTACCCGTTGCAGGATACTGCAAAATTATTTGAAAGTGTCCACGAAACAGACCGTGACGTCTCGTGGGTTGTGACATGACGTTGGTTTGATCGTTGTGGTAGAAATTTATGGATCAGATTCCATTGCCGCAGTTACGTTCTGTACGCTGTTTGGGTCGTCAGGAAACATTCAGCCGGTAATAGGGCCAGATTCAGCTATGCATTGTCGAATAAATGTATTCGGGTGTATAAAAATGATAAATTGTGTTTTTAAAAAAGAAAGGAGTACTGCGAGAGGGCAATCAAAATCCTTAATGCAGGATTCAAAGCATCAGAGCCACAATATATGGCTGAGATTTTTTCTGTGTTTGTTTTTAACCGGGTGACTATATGATACAAATGTAAGTTTTAAAGCACCAGCCAACGCCACCTAGGTACAAGCCTTTAGCACGTTTTCCTCTTCAAAGCTCTAAACTTGACATGTGGAACCAGTGTTCCACGTGATCTTTTTGTATTGCCTTCCCCCTTGTGTAAGGCCCCCTGTCGGTGCCCTTGAGGGATAACAAATGAATGAACTAATACTTCGTTTCACCTGAAGTCCGAGCGCGGTCAAAGCCTAGAAGGCAAACAATCCAATACACTCAAACACTAAAAGTCGGAAGCCACAGCGCACTGCGCTTGATGGGCTGAGTTGGCGGACACGCACAGAAAGATGACGAATGCCATGATGTTGCAATATCTGTAATGCTTGATTGGCTCCTCGAATTGTACGATCGGCATCATTTTTACTTAAAGTGAAACGAATTATAGATGTTGGGACACCGCTGGTTATTGGCCGCGACTTCCAAGTTCACGCAAATATAATTGTAAATTAGAGAGGTGAAGCCAATCAACAGCTGTTGTGCCCGTTACCTAACTCGTGCTGTGTCGTCATAAGAGAGATTGCCCTTGTTTGTATCTAGGTGGTGTTGCATGGGCTCCAGGTTAAATAAGCTACAAAACACGTAGACAACGCGTATTCTTGACGTGCATCCAGAAGCATTCATCACTTTGAAATTTTAGGAACCGGTCCGGATGAGTGTCGCAGAGTCCGCTTGTGGTGCCTAATGACATCCTCTCAGACTTTGACGACCGTAGAAAAGGAACAAGTTTATAAGTGGACAAACCCGGGCAAGATATTGAAAGGGCTATCCCAGAATGTTGTTTTTTTCTTAACAGATGTGTGCTATCTCTATCAACAAGTCATTCATTGGCTTTGGCAGTTCGTTGTCCAGGATATGGACCTGGACAATCACGGCACAAAGTCCGCGCTCAAGTGCTTGAAGTCAACATCGTATGGGCGGTGCAAATTAAGCCTCGATCATGTTTCGCTCAAATCCCTCATTCACCCAAATCTGGTTCAGAATCTACGATTTCTGGATTTAGATACATATCTCAGAAGGGCAGCAGATCACTCTCGAGGAAGTTTTTGATGATTGCGTTGCTGAAACTTTTTTAGAGTGTAGAGCGATCAGTCGATTGTTTTACTTTATAAAACAAAAACCCGGCCTGCACGAGACTGCGACTCTCTGCATTCCGATACGCATGTAAATAAATAGTTCAAATGTGATGTGTCATTTTTTTTGTTCAGTCTTTTTTGCATTAATTTAAAGACAACGGTGATGAAATGCATGTTTTGGTGGCCACCAGTATTTCCTTTTTTGTGACTGAAGGAATTGAATTGCTCACAATAACCTTGTGCACGTTATGAAAGGCACCAAAACGACTAGCAGGCATATGGGGAACCTGCAACGCTGTTTGGTTTGGCGCTATCTAGCGACTGAAGCAAGAAACATTGGGTATGTCGGGAGTGGCTGCTGCATTGTTCAAATCTGAGCTATTACTCTGGTGGCGCCGCTATAGCCTAGTGTCTGAAGCAAAAATACTGGGCAGGCCAGGAAGCCTTAATCGCATAACATGCAAGTATGGCGGAAGTTGCGGCCCTGGCGGGCCAATCGAGATGTGACTACGTATCATCGGAGTGCGCTTTTACTGCAAAGAAGTATCAGGCTTTTCGCTGTGTCATGCTCCAATATCTGTGCGTTGTGCTCATATACGTAGCGGATATCGAAGCCGTTGGCACGCAATATGGGGCTTATCGTTCACCCTTTGTCAAGTTACACCGAGGCAGGGTAAAACCTTGGCCTCTCACTCTACTCGCGCCGCCTGGCTGTTACCGGAAGGCTATAAGGCGAGAATAGCACCACGTAGTTAATTTATTTTAGATAGGAAGAAGAAATATAAAAAGTAATATACCATCCCGTATCAGAAAATAGAACAAATAGAATTGCCGAGCGAACTTTCTAAAAAAAGTGTGCGGTTTGATAAGTAAAACATAAAGACAAACACGCAATCTGTTTGTCTTCTATCTTGTGTACGTCTTTTTTTTAGCGCTTTTAACCATGGTTCAATACAGTCAACACCAACTAGCCGAACAACAAGTTATTTTATAAAGCCTAATCTTTTGAACAATTCTGCTACCAAGCGAGAAGCTGAAAATTTCTTTTAAAATAAAACAGTTAAGTTTTAAAGCTTTATATTTTTCTTATAGTAGAGTATTATATCAAATTGTGATTTGAACAATACGAAAACTTTTTTGTTTAAATAATAATAGTTCTGTGATTCGCTTTAGTAGAATATTTAAGAATATAAGTTGGTTGTTTTAAGACGGTTGCAACACGTAAAATAAACGTTTTAGCAATTAAGGCATTATTCACACCGCATGATGAGCGCAACAAACTCGCACGAGAATTACAGGAAAATATCGGTGGTGACTTAAGTTTCCCTGAAATTCTGTTTAACCAGTCGTTTGCAGGACCGAATCATCTACTCAAGCGGTGTGCGCTGCTGTGGAAACACGTCGCTCTGCAAACGCAGTCCAACAACAAAACATAAAAACGGCAGATCTAGGACAACAATGCGGAGTACATTGTTCAATTTAAACGACATAATCTGGTTGAAAACGCCCGCAGCTTTTTACTCACGGTACGCGTCGGGATACTTCCACATTTTGAAACGCAACGAAGGAAGATTTACTTTTAAAGACGCTCGCTGCGTCCTCCCGGACCAGCTGGTCCGGGTCAGCTTACAACAACGGGACTGAATGCGTAAAATTTCAACCCCACAACAACCAATTCGCGCTCCGTGTTAGTGTGGCTTCCTACCTCCAAGCACCGCACCACACACCACGAACATTTCAGCTCTTTGGCGCATCGCCGTGTTGCAGCAAACAGAACAAGATCGCCGAAGTCAACGCAGCGCTGTCGTGAACCTTGGCATGTGGTTGCGCACTCGTGGACCCTGTGACTCCTTTCGCTTTCCATGGCACACACGACGTTTACGAATGATAGTTTCCGTCTTCCCGGAACATCACAGGGGCACTTCTCCGGTCACGTCTTCGCTACATGTGCTCGCAAACCGAGCAGCTTCCCCACTTCCCGTCCAACCGAAACCATACCGGCGCCGTGTTAAACGTGCGTTTTTAGATTTTCTTCGACCAAAAAATACAACGAATGCAAACGGGCTCGAGCTTCCAGCGTACATCGGCGTTGCGCCGTGGCCAGATTTTCTCTGTCAGCTCTAAATTAAATATGACCTACAGATGCAGCAACACTGGCCACCGCGGAGCGTCGTAAATTCTGAGAAGGATGCATGGGAAGCGGTGGCACCTTCGCTTGCAGTTAAAGGGTTGAAGCCAAAACGAAACCAACTGCAATGTCACGTATTCAGATCGAGGGAACGCTTTTTATATCCATTGTAACTGTATTTTTTTTTTACATTTGTAGTTAAAATATTTATGATAAAGAGCTATAAAAAATGTTTACTGGGCAACTCCGCATGATAAAGATATTAATTTTACTTAAGCAGTCACTAGGTTGTTAATATTCCTGTCAGATGGGCACGTTAACGGTCTCCAAAATGAACTTTAAACGGTCTCCAAAATGAACACTTTATCGCGCTATTTTTTTTAATCTAGAGCGAGTTTTTAGATAATGACACACATTTACAGTTTTAGTTTTCCTTATGATGATCAAAGAAGCTCCAGGTACACTAACCAACTGTGTTTAAATTGCCAGGCGTTTCGCGGCCTCCTCGGCTACGCACTCACGGGTGACTTACTTGGCTAGTTGTTCGTCTTTCTCTTCTTCTCTTTGTCACTGCCGCTTAAATCGTGTGCTTCTTTTTGTGGCACCTCGAAGCCCGTCAATATAACCGCATGGGAGGGTACCGAAAACCGGTTGTTTGTTGAATATGCCATGACTCTAAAAAGAGTCGTTCTTTCCAGATTCTTTCGGTGTCCAGTATGAAACTGCTCACGATGTCGATGAGTGTTTTGTTTCTTTTTTACGTCGTATTTGTGTCTGCGTGGACGTTCAGGCAAGTTCTTGGCTTCCCCCACATATGAAGGATTGCAGTCGGCGCATGGAATACGAAAAACAAGGCCTTAGGCTGTTTTTTTTTTATGACGATTT